TCATATCTTATAGGGTTTTTATTGAAAAATATTAATGATTCATTTTTGGTACACTATGCAAAATAGACATAAAAATTCTTTAGTTAGTATGACATATCTATAACAAAATTATAAACCACATGCATACCACACCAAAACAAAACCAACAAACCAATAAAGGAAGCATAGTACTAAATACATGTCGTAATTATTACCATTAGTGCATGTTGTCCCATTTTTGCATCAACACGAAATAAGCCCTCCATACACATGATAGTTACGGAATATAGACAAAAGTACTAGCAAATTAATAAATAAGAGCCTTACCTTTAGAAAATATTGTTTGTTTAACGAATACACCAAAATATTTCTAAATAATCCACTTCCAAAAGTACGTAAATGAACCCGCTATCAAAAATGCGCGCCAATTGGTATAACGTCAGAAAGATACAAATATTGAAGTCAAATGTCATTATTTTAGTTAATTTTTGATAAGTCAATGGACAAAGGAATCACTGCCATTCAGCCAAATGTATCGATATCAAAACTGTTGTCGGGTATCCGCGCAAAAAGTTATTGATTCATTTTTGGGACTCTATGCATTTAAGGGTTAAAACGTCAATGTATTATTTTTGATCTATTAATATCATTAAAAAAAAGGTATAAAGCTGCTACTTTGTTTGTATTCTTTGCAATTGATGCAATTTTATTTTGCATTGAAATCCGCAATATAGTAATTACTTTTATCATTTGCGATAATGTTTTTGTTGATCTATCACTTCCTATACGTTTCCTTTTCGTTGTTTTCTTGGAACCATCTTTTTTGGTTTAGCACTGGAAACAATAACCTTTTCATTCGGAAACAATATGAAGAATTTTGAGGTTAACTCTTTAATCTTGAATAATATATACAGTAAATTGTCCCTAATTGACCCTCAGCTCGGATACAAAAATGGACAATTTGGGAAGAGGAGAAACGATTATTCGAGCCTTGCGGCTCATTTATCTTCACTTCCCAAATTGTCCATTTTTATTTCCAAGCGGAGGATCAATTTGAAAGAATTTACTGTAATTAGTAAAACTTGAGCTTCATTGAATGGATTATACAATAGTATTTATAGAAATACAATAAATTTTCTCTAATGGTCCTTCAGCTTGTAAACGAAAATGGATTATCCGAGCTTCGCGATTAGTTTTTATAGTCGCCGATTGTCAACAATTGAGTCGTTTACTTTGAAAGTGGCGTAAGTCACTTTTTCAAAAAAATCGAGTTAGTGGTAAGACTAATTACAATCGAACGGTATCTTTTCATTTAAAGAAAAAAAAAAGTGACTTATACCACTTTCAAAATAAACGGTTCAATTATAAAAACTAATCGCGAGGCTCGAATAATCGTATCTCCTCTTCCCAAATTGTCCATTTTTGTTTCCAAGCTGAACGTCAATTAGGGAGAAACTACTGTGGCTGTAGAACATATACAAAATTCATCAAAAACGTCGAGAAGAATCGTTTAATAAATAATTACTGACAATTGCGTTAATTGCGTATATTCAAATTTTATAATGTACAGGTTCCATTTCTCTATTTTTGGTGTTGGTTCAGAAAATATCTAGCTATAGAACATATTCAAAATTCATCGAAATCGACGACGACATTCCTTTAATGAATAGTTACTGATAATTGCGTTAATTGTTCATATTCAAATTGCATAATATGCAGGTCTCATTTTTACATTTTTGGTATTCGGTGTTGTATTCTTAATTAGAAATTTATTTCAGTTGTAATATCAGTCGCGAAACAAAAATTAATACCAATATTACTTCATTTTATAACTCTGTCCCATTCAATACAACCAACTGATGAATGAGACGAAAACATTCTTTTTTAAAATATTAAAAGAAAGTAAGTAAACGCAGGAGAAAGTCATTGGCACTATGTAGTTTTATAATAAAAGCGCTGATCTTTCGAATGTTCCAAAGTCTTTTGCTTATTTTCTCCAAAACAAAAGTGTTCAATTCATATGGCAATTGTCGCCTAAAAATAAATCGACTTTTTCAAAGATTCCCACTAGAGTACCTTCTTAGGAGAGGGCACACACACACACACACACACACACACACACACACACACACAGAGGCGAAGTTCGACTACCACTCCTTTTCCAGACAAAGGTTTAAAAATACATGTATTTTGATAGCACTTTTTACGCTGATTCGAGTTACGGCAATTGAAGAAAACTTACTGTAATTACACAGAGTTGAGTGTAAGCTGAGTGTATGCCAAGTGTGCCAAAACGAGTGTTTGTCTAAAAGTTTTGTGTATATTACATTTAGACAAAACGCACAAATATACTCACTTTACATTTAACTTACACTAAACATACACTATAAACACACTAAACACGCGCGAAACCCATTCACACGTGAGGTATAATTAATACAATTCTGCTCGTTCAATCTTCTCGTGGTTTACCTTGGTTTATCCTAATGCCGGTGGCACATTTATCATTTGAAATGCTGTAACATTGCAAGAAAAAATCGTAGCTCCTTAATTCTGGCCTCAAATTAAAGAAAAAAGTCCGAACTATACGACATTGTTAATGACATACTCGGAAACAATTTTACCAGGTCCACAGAGGGCGTTAAACTCTGCACTTTTTCGGTATCACGAGCATGCCCTCAGATTTAGCACACTACAATCATAGTGATGCGTGATATTAAAAATCGGAATATGGTACTGTAAAGTAGAGATTGCAAGCTTCAATTTAAAAAAAAACATTCATAATTTTACGATAGCGTTTAACGGAGGCACACT